ACACCGGAGGTGCCAGTCTTCCCTGAACACCCCACATGCAGAGTTTGTGTCTACAAGTGTTATCTGAGACCTTCAGTATGTTCAGCCATCTTTTAGTCGTGTCAGACAATTCATGACCCCATTTGGGGTTTTCTTGGCAGAAATCCGGAAGTGGTTTGCCATTTCCTTCTCCAGCTCATTTTACAGATGAGGAAACTGGGGCAAACAAGGTTAAGTGACTTGCCCAGGGTCACATAGCTAGTAAGTTTCTGAGGTTGGATTTGAACTTAGGAAGATGAGTCTTCTTGACTCTAGGATTGGCACTCTATCCATCGAGCCACCTAGCTGTTACATATCTGAGAAGGGTATGTATTTTTAAAAGAGGTTTTATCGATGCCTTTATATCACAGTTATTTCCCACCTTCCTTCTCTAGGTTAAGTTTTCTCTTGTTACAAAGGAAAACTAAGCAAAAACATCCCACATGTAGTGACCATACCTAACAATGTATGCAATATTCTGTTCTAATAGCTCCCGACCTTTCTTCTATGAGAAGATATGGCTTCTTTCATTTTCTTTTCTGGGACCATTACTAACTTTTCAAGTTCTGAGTTTGATTGCTTTTGGTAATTGTTTCATTTACATCATTGTACTCCTGTATTTTGTTCTCTTGTTTCTGCTTATTTTACTTTGCATCCTTTATACAAATCTTTCCAATGTTTCTCTGAATTCTTCCTTTTCTTTATTTCTCACTGCACAATACCCCATTGCATTCACAGATTATGAACTGATGACCACTCAATTTACTTCCAGTTTTTTGCTGTCATAAACAATGCTGTGATGATTTTTATTGTTAAATTGTGTCTGACTCTGTGATCCCATTTGGAGTTTTCTTGGCAAAGATACTAGAATGGTTTGCCATTTCCTTCTCCAGCTCATTTTACAGATAAGGAAACTGAGGCAAACAGAGTGAAGTGACTTGCCCAGGGTCACACAGCTATTAAGTGTGCCGGTAAGTATCTGAGGCCAGATTTGAACTCAGGAAGATGAGTTTTCCTGACTCCAGCCTCAGCCTCTATTCACCTAGCTGCAATAATATCTTGATATATATTGGACCATTGTCTCTGCCTTTGACTTCCTTGGCGTATTTATGTACAGCAGTGAGATTTCTAGGCCAAAGAGTATGGACAGTTGTCGTTTTTCTTGCATTATGCTAAGCTGGGGTATATCTTTGTGAGTCATTTATTTGTGGGTAAATAACACATATATGATTGGGTTAGTACTTTCTGTTTTCTACTGTTGCTATTTTCTTTCTCTTTCTCACCTTTACCACTGCTAGGCTTAGTTGCAGGTTTTTAGCCAATGATCCATCCATCTTGGATTAGGTGCTGAAGGTTAGGGTAAGCCTGGGGGTGGTGAATACCATAGCAATAGAGAAGAACACAGCTTACTCTTTATTTTGGCTTCCTTCCTCTTAGTGCAGAGAATGTCTATAATTGGCAGCTATGGGGGTATAACTCGGGCAGGGTACCAGGCTTAGCTTGGATCTCAAAAACACAACCCAAACTTATGGGGTTCCATCAAGGAAAGTGGGTACCCTTATTGTTTTTGTTCTAGCTCCATGAAGAGGAATTGATGCCTTGTTCTTATTTTCTAGCTTGTAAATTACAGAGCATTTAAATAATCCCTTAAAGAATTAATTCAGGGAGCACCAGCCCAGGAGTCAGGAGGACCTGAGTTCAAATCCGACCTCAGACACATAACACTTACCAGCTGTGTGACTCTGGGCAAGTCACTTAACCCCGATTGCCTCACCAAAAGAAAAAAAAAAGAATTCAAATTTGTAAGACTAAGAGTCATTTCCCAATTGACAAATGGTCAAAGAATATGGATAGGGAGTTTTCAAAGAAAGAAATCCAAGCTATCAATAACCATATTTTAAAATGTTTAAAATTACTAATAATTCTACCTAAGCTAAGTTACTTATTCAGTGCCATACCAAACTACCAAACATTACTAATAATTAGATAAATGCAAATTAAAGACACTCTAAGGTTTTACTTCACACCCATCAGATCAGCAAAGATGACAAAAAAGGAAAATGATTAATGCCAGAGAAGCTACTGGAAAATAGTCACATTAATACACAATGGATAGAGCTGTGAATTGGTGCTACCATTCTGGAAAGCAATTTGGAACCTGTCCCAAAAGTCACTAAACTGAGCATACGTGTGGACCCAATATATACCATTACTAGGGTTATATCCCCAAAGAGATAAAAGGAAGAGGAAAAGGACCCATATGTAGAAGGCAATTCTTTTTGTAGTAGCAAAGACCTAGAAGTTTAAACTAATGATGATTTGGGGGAACAGCTGAACAAATTATGATATACAAACATAACAAAATACTATTATGCCATAAAAAATGATGAAACAGCCAGTTTCAGAGAAACCTGGAAAGATTTGTATGAAATGATGCAATGAAGTGAGCAGAGCCAGAAAAATTTATACCATAAAACTATAAAGGCAAATAACTCTGCACTTTAGGTCTCTAACCAATGCAATAACCAATTACAATTCCAGTAGACTGAAGATGAAGTTAGGGACTAAATATGCAGAGACACACATTTCTGGTTGTGGAGTTTATTTTTGCTTACCTCTGCATAATTGTTATAAGGGTCCCTCCTTATAAATGGAGAGAGAGAATATAAATGCTTATTAATTTGAAAATATAAATTAGTAATTTATATTACTTATATATTATATACATATATATTATATTACAATATCACAATTCCTTCAATGCAAGTTTGGGTCTATCTTGATTGAGCTGGGAGCCCCTAAAAGGGATGGCAAGGAATGCGAATGCTGATGGAACCTAACTAATCCTGAACCCTTGGGTTGGAGTGGAGGCTCTTTTTGTCCCTTGTGCTGCTGGTTCTTCGGTGTACCCTTTATACTGCACAAACCTCGAGAGTCCTGATTATTCTTTCCCTTGGAAATATTCTCCGTTTCCCCAAGCTGGAGTATTCCCTAATCTTTTCCCATTTACTTCTCAAAGAGAAATCCCTGCTTCAACTAGAGACTTATCTGTGAGTAGCCAAGTCAGAGCCAGGAATATGCATGTAGATTCTTGGCCCACCAGGGTAGACAGAACCATAGGTGAATTAGAGGCAGGGAATGGTGATCTACATGGACTGAACAGTTTTGTTTCTACCAAGCCTGAAAACGGGCTTTTTAAAAGAGTCATTCATTCATTCAACAAGTATTTGTTAAGCATTTATTATATATAAGGCACTTTGGCACATACAAAGTCCTTGTCCCTGCCCTCCAGGAGCTTACACTCTAAAAGAAAAGACTGTATACAAATAACCACAACACTAGGTATCATGCGATATAAATACTAATGAAGCTGAGGCTGGGCGAGTGTGAAGGAATAGCTCAAGATAGCTACAGCTATCAGGTAAGACTGCAAATCCCAGTGTGCTTCCTTTCTTTCCTAATCAACTGAGATATTGCATGTAAAGCACTTGCTAAGCCTTATACAAATGCCAACTATTATCTGAATATTCCCAGGGGCAGTTAGGCAGCACTCAGCAGGATGGGCACTGAACAGGCCCATCTGGGAAGGCAGGGAAGTTTGAGTAAAAGGGAAAAATCACAATCTTCTGAAATTCCAGCAGGGGGCAGGCAAGCTCTACCCAGCCCAGCCGTAAGACTAGGTTGGCAGCAGAGCCCAGCCCAAGCCTGGCACTGACACTTGAACAGAATTGGCCAGAGATAAAGCTGAAGTATTAGCCAAAGCCCAGGCGGGAGAAGAAGAGATGAGGCAGGTCTACCTCTTTCAAACTGCACCGCTTAAGTCACTTTCACCTCGGAATCCTAGGCTCTTTGCACAAGCTACAGCTCGCTCTTCCTGGTGCCCATTTAACTCAAACTTTTTAATGCCATGGACTGCTTGGCAGTCTGATGAAGCCCTTCTCAGAATGCTTTTAAATGCATAAAACAAAACATACAGGATTATAAAGAGAGCTACTTATATTGAAATAAAGTGATAGTTTTAAAGTTTGCATACACTCCCCTTCTTCCCCTCAGTTAAGGGAGGCAGGGGTATCTTGAGGGTTTTCAAACCCTCCAGGTTAAGGAAGGCAAGGGCATCTTTGGGGGTTTCCAGGCACTATTCCCCCCATCCCCAACGGAAATTGACCTGCACTTCTCTCAAGGGTGGATGAACCAGGGAAGGGTCCTCCCCCAGGTCCAGTCTGGAGGAGCCCAATAATGACTCTAACACTTTAATGCAGACTGTGGACTGGACTAGGGTGTGCATCTTGCCTTGGGCTACTTATGAGAATAAAAGATCATAGGACTCAGAGATGGAAAGGACCTTAGAAATTATCCAGTTCAGTCTCCTCCTCTTGCAGATAAGGAAACTGAGGTCCAGAGACTAAGATTTGCCCCTAGTTGTACAGATGCACCCTTTTGTGCATGCTGCTCCTTTAAGACCACCTCTCCTAACCCCTGAATGGTCATTCTTCTGCTTTTGACTGATTTAAACCAGTGGCTCTTTTTTAAAAAAAAAATTTATGCTATCCACATCCAGAGAAAGAACTATGGAGTCTGAATGCAGATTAAAGCATACTATTTTTTTTCTCTTGGTTTTTCCCTTTTATTCTGCTTCTTTTACATGACTAATGAGAAATGTTTAATACATGTATATGTACATGTATAGCCCATATCACATTGCAAGCTATCTTGGGGATGAAGGGGGAAAAATTTAGAATTCAAAATCTTATAAAAAATGAATGCTGAAAACAAAAATAAATAAATAAATTTTTAAAAAAAGAAAAAATCTTTACAAACAGAAAGTTTTTATTTTAAACATTTTTATTTTTAAATTCAATCCCAAATTCCCTCCCTCTCACCCCCTTCACCACCCACTGAGAAGGCAAACAACAATAGCAATCATACATGTGAAATCACATAAAACATATTTCCCCATTGCCAAAAAAAAAAAGCCAGAAAAATAAAGTGTGAAAATTATACTTCAATTTGCACTCAGACCATTGGCTCCTGATCATTTAAACCAGATTTTACTTGAAGTAAGGTCACACAGATGTACCCTCATGCTGCTCCTCTAAGATCTTTCCCTTCCCAAAATTCCCCCTGAAGACTACTCTTGGTGGCCACTTAAATCTGATTTTACTTGTACTCTTAAAAATAAGAGTGCAGGAAGGAAAAGCTAAGGGATAGTACACTGTGTGGCTTATCCTAGGACGACATTTGAGAGATGACACAGAATCTGGGGCTAGCTAACAGAGAAATTCAAGCAGGCAAGAAGCCAAAGGGTCATCACAGGTCCTGCTGGGCATCATGCCAGAAGCACCACTTTCTCCTCCTCCTCCTCCACTTCCACAGTGGTAGGTAGTATGTGCCTGAGGAAGGAATGGAATGGAATAGAACAACTCAGACCAGGGGTAGCTAGTGGTGCAGTGGATAGAGCACCAGCCCTGAAGTCAGGACGACCTGAGTTCAAATCTGGCCTCAGACACGTAACACTCACTGGCTGTGTGACTCTGGGCAAGTCACTTAATCCCAACTGCCTCACCAAAAAAGCAAAACAAAACAAAAAACAAACCCAAAAAATAAAGAACAGCTCAGACCTGCGGCAGCATGGAAGAAAGTTGAACAAGGTGTGAAATGACAGGCTGGTGGATTCAGTACAGCAGCAAAAAGGCTTCCATTTCCTCTGCTAGTGCAAGTCACAAGACCCCGAATCTGGCTCTAAGCTCCACTTTGGGCAAGTGACCATCTCTCTAGCTAGGCCTCAATAGTAGCAGCTAGTACTTACACAGTAGTGCTTTAAAGTTTGCGAAGCACTGTGTATATGACCTCATTTGAGCCCCACAACAACCCTATGAGGTAGGTGCTATTACATCCATTTCACAGATGAGGAAACAGGCTGAAATAGTTTCATTTTATCCAGGGTCACACAGCTAGGAAGTGCCCAAGGCAGACCTTGAACCCAGGTCTTCCTGACTCCAAATACTACACTCTGGATACTACACCACCTAGCTGCCTCAAATATCCTTGTTTGTAAAATAAGAAGGTCCCTTTCAGCTAGCTTCTTAGCAGTCCACTAATTCTAAACCTCAGAGAACTTTAATGCAGCTAGGACAAGCCAATAGATACACATGGTTTTGCCAGCTGGTTAAAAAGATCAGAGAGAGGGGTGTGTGTGTGTGTGTGTGTGTGTGTGTGTGTGTGTGTGTGTGTGTGTGTGTGTGTGTGTGTGTGTGTGTGAGATGTATATGTGTGTGCATATACATACATTCCTTCAGGAAACAGGCTAGCCTTTTGTGACTTCTCTTCCTACTCAACTATCCTTAATGGTCACTTAAACCTGATTTCACATGTAGAAAAATGTCTGGCAGGGGAGAGATAGTAGGGGAACAGTCCCACATAACTCCTGGAACCCTTTTAATACCTCAGGGAGGAAGGACTAGATCCTGCAGGGGATTCTCCAAATCCCTTAAGCCAACAATGAGGGCTAAGGACAAGAATGAGGCCATACTCAGAAATTCCACGATGGCCAAAGGACAGGACACCAGTCAGAGTAAGAGGTCAGGAAACAAGGCGAATACTTGCCACCCACTAAAAACACATTTTGAAATCAGATGGATTGGGCTCACCACACGTGTTACAAAACAGCCAATGCCAAAGTGCTGTGACAAAAAAAAAAAGCTCCAGAGATTACAAGGAAAGGCACAGAATCCGGACACTGGCCAGCGCTGTTCAGGTTGAACTGGCACTGCAGTGAACTGAGACATAACTTAGCTCCTGGTGTTTGGAAAGGTGGGGAAGAGGGTTCAAAGATGCTGACCGTTCCAACGGAGCACAGGCACAGGAACCTTTCAGCTACTGCCTTAGTTCAGATAAAGAGAACACTTCTAACATGAGATGGCCCTGAAAGGGGGGCAAAAAATAGGTATATACTAACAAAGACAAAATAAGGATTAAATGTTTTCCGCTGCTTCATCCTCATTTTGTTCTCTTAATAGATGTGATTCTGGGCTGTATATAAACCAGACTAGGGGAAAGTGGGGCTTCTATTTAGACCAATACAGTATACTTTCAAGTCATGCCAACCCTGAACTAGACTCTTCTTTGCTAAACTCTAAGGACACTAGGAAGTTAGGTTAGGATGCTTGGGACCTTTGTGAATGACACACAGCTTCCTCAAGGTAGACACTCCAGCAACCATTTGGTTTTGGGGGAATGAAAAATATAGTATAAGTCTTTCTTTGTAGGGTTACATGTAACTGAAAGAATCAAGGGATTGCAGGAACTGGCTAGGTGTTATGCAGCCCTTCTTTCTACACCTATCATAGCAGTAGGGTACTTGTTTGAGGCAAAATTTAAAATGAGAGGGTCTCATCTAGAACAAACTAGCCTCATCTGTTCTTAGCAGCAAGCTTCTAGGATCTGAGACTGCTGAGTGGGGAGGGGAACTAAGGCCATTTTTCACTTTAGGGAGGGGGGTAGAAGCAAGCAGGAAGAGGAGAAGCCTGAATAAATAACTAATTCTTCTCTTCCCCCACAACCATGGCAGGTGGGGAAAGGTTCAACTACCTCAAAAGTTCAACACAAGCTGGAAAAAACAAAACGCCCCAAAACAAACTGAAGAGGGAGAGCTGGCCAACGACCAATGTTCTGTAACAATTCCCAGGAAGAATTTATGTGACCTCATGGTACATTTTCAGTTAAATAGGAGAGAATATGTTAACCTCTGACTATAGACAGACACCATGGAGAAAGGCAGGGTGGAGTGCTTGCATGTGTTTGTGAGCATGTGCAAACGGACTGAGCAGAGAAGCTGCAGTTTAAAAGGAAAAGAGAAAACCAAGAAAAATTCAGCAACTGTTGGAGCAATCACATGCCGCTCCCCAAAGACAGACAGAGGAGATGGGAGGCTGGAGAAGCCAAGTGACCACCTGCTCCTGTGGAGAGAAGGCCCCTCTGCAAGAATCCCTCTGGTGATGACCCTTCCCAGGCGGCCAGGCCCTTCTACAGCAGAAGAGTGGAAGTGCGGAGCTGGTGGGGAGTGGGGAACAGAACAAAGGAAATCTGCCTTAGAAACTCCAAGGCCCTTCTCTAGCAGTGCCAGCATAAGCTGACTTCGTTTGTGTACTCAACCCAGCAAAAGCCTTAAGGCTTAGGAAAACACTATCCTTGGCTGGCTGGCTACAAAAGCAGAGTCAAGGTCATCTTGAGCATGCCTGCTTCCACTGACCCATCATCCTCACTGGGCATATCTCAGTAAATCCTGCCGGGTGGTGAGCTTCAGCTGGACAGTCAGACAAGCAGCAGGACTGGCCTTCTGCTGCTCTGGGTTACAGGAAAGAGGCAACAACCCAGCTTCCCACAGAAACAGCCTTTGGCTGCTCTGCAAGGGAGGGGTACTGACTTTTAGGGGTTACTTGAAGGCCTCATTGAAGGCCCGGCCAATGACTAGCCTCCGAATCTCACTGGTCCCAGCCCCGATTTCATACAGCTTGGCATCTCGAAGAAAGCGTCCCATAGGGAAATCATTAATGTATCCATTGCCACCTGCAGCCAAGAAGGGACAAGATGACATTAGTGGAACTAGGATGTGGGAAAATATCCATCTTTTGCTACCATTTCCTTCTGGGCTTCAAGTAGGGATTGGATGGTGAGGGGGTAGGGATGAGGAAGGATAATGTGTGGAGGCTGGTCCTCAGCTGTGGCCTAGACTGAAAAGGACCTGAAAAAGGACCAGGGAACTAAGAAGGGTAGAAGTAGGAAAGGGCATTGGGACTGGTTGTGGTAATAATGCTTCTTCTGTAACTACAGGCAGCTATGTTTGTGTGTCTGCATAGGAGAGAGGCCAGCATACTCCCCCAGCAGCAGCCATTGCCCCCCACTAGCTCCTTGTCCCCTAATGTGGCCTGAACAGTGTATCAGGAGCCAAACAGTGAGAGGGTTGGGGTGAGTGACTAACATGGGCAAAAACCTCAACAGAAGCAGCTGCTCCCATGAGGCAGCTGAGTAGCACAGGGTACACTTACCTAGGCACTGGATGCCATCCAGAGCCACTTGTGTGGCTGACTCTGCTGCGTAAAGGATCACACCTGCACAGTCCTGTGGGACGATGACATTACCCTGTACCTCTGATAGGGCCCCTGCTGGACCCTGACAGAGGGGAGCACCTTAGGAGCTGGGGGGCCCTTTTGGCAGAGTCTTTGCCATAGGCTGGCATACAGAGAACCTCTTCTTCTTCAGCATTCCTTCCCCTCCTCCCCATTTCCTTTGGGTCTGAAAGCCCACCCACCCCCTTTTCCCTGACAGGGGAGGCACTTACCTTGGGAGTATGATGTCCCTCATCACAAGCTTTGGCAACATTATAGACGTATTGCCGACTGGTTGTGAGGCGGGTGTACATGTCTGCCATTTTCCCCTGCATCAGCTAGGCATAAACAAGTATCCATGGTTATTATCTCTAGTTCTTTTCCTCCTAAGAGGAAAAGAAGTGGCTCTAGGCTCCAGCAGGGGAAGCAGCAGCAGCAGCAGCATAGGGAAGGAATTAAGGAAGGGAGTTGGGGTAGGAGTGGAACTTGCTTAAAGTGCCAGTGCTGGCTGAAACCTGGGAAGTGACACTCTCCATCATTCCACCCCAAAAGATTTAGGCTGTCTTAAAAGTACTTTCTTCTAAACAGCCTTTCAAGGGAGTTATTAAAAATGCCTTATAGGACTCACCTCCTTCTTTTCTCACATCCTTTCCTGCCCCTGCCCCTGCCCCAAACAATAACTGAATGTTCCCACACCAATATCAGAAGAGAAGCCCTGAATTGACGTGGTGCAGCCTCCTTAAAAGCCAAGCGTGTACGCAGTAAGGGAGCAAAGGCATGTTTAGCGAAGCCCATTTTCTACATGAAAACACCTAGAGATCAGGGGAGTAGGTGGTGGGTCCCATGAATACTTCTTGGACAGCTCGTGCCAGGAGTCTAGCTCTATGGAGATAATCAAAGAACAACTTCCAAGGCAACTGGGCTGTTTCCACGAAGCACTTGGGGTGCTTAAGAAACCTCAGCCAGGGAAAAAGCAGCCAGATCTGCATCCCATGCCTTGCTCCTTCCTCTAGCATGGCATACCTCCCCAGCCAGATTCTACTCACTTGAAAATGGCCGATCTTTTGGCCAAAGGCTTCCCTCACATGCAGGTAGGGGATGGTGTGATCCAGGACGGCTTGCATGATCCTGCCAGAGGGAAGGGAGCCCTTCATTGCCCATCCCTGAATGAGGATAGCTGGCAAAGGAGCTCGGTGGGAGAGATGGGGTAGGACTAGTGATCCCACAGTAGCAGGAGTTAGGGGTCAGTGATGGCAAAGTCACAGAACCATAGGGAGAAAAAGGAGCATGACATTGCATGCTCTTCTGATCTCTTTCTTCCTCTGATCTCAAAGCACTAGAAATGCAGTATATCACAGATGAAAAAGCACTGAACCAGGAGTCAAAAGACTTAGGTTCCCAGGCCAGCTCTTACCACTAACAACACTGCGGAGCCTTAGTTCTCTCATTTGAAAATTGAAGCTTTTACTCAATAACTCCAGCCAGACCAGATGATCTCTAAAGGCTGTTCTAGCTCTACTTTTTTTTTGAGGGGGTGGGGGTGGGATGGGGTGGAGGTGGGGGACTAAGTATATGGATCTATGATTTTATCCATACAAGAAATATTTCACGTGAAAAATCCCTTAACAGATTCAGCCTGGGAACTTACCTGCAACTTCTAGTCTGAGAGACTGGAAGCACTAGGAGGGTAAGTGACTTGCCAGGATCCCACAGTTGGTATGAATGTCTGTATGTGAGGCAGTACTTGAACTCAGCACCTCAGTCTAGTCCTCTATCCACTGTGCAGGCTGCTTCTCTGTCCTATGACTGTGAGTTATTAACTTCTCTTTCTCTAAGGGTTCTTGGCAGAGGAAAACTGAGACGTGGAAAAACTTAGTGATGCCTGCTACTCCTTGACAGCAGGTTTGGGTTTAGAACCCAGGCCTTCTGCTTTACCCTGTGTGCTGAACAACACAGCTCCCTGTGGCCTTTTCATGTTGCTCTGAAGCACATTCCATTGCTATGCTAAGAAATGTAAAGAGAGAGAGAGAGAGTATGTGTGTGTGTGTGTTTGTGTGTGTATGTGAGAGAGAGAGAGAGAAAAAAAATGGAGATATCACCTTTGTTCCAAAGAAGGAAAAACTGAAGCCAGAGGTGAGGAATCAAGGGTCCTAAAGGAAGACTGATGATGGCATCAGCTGATAAGGAGGAAGACTCAAATCTAGGTAATGCATACTTACCCCAGAGGCCCGCCAGCCAGCACCAACCGCTCCAGATCCAGTCCACTCATCAGTACATACACACCCTTATTCAGGTGACCCAGGACATTGGAGACTATTGGGGAAAGTGTCTAGTCAGTTGGAAACAGAGGACTATACAGAGCCGCCAATAAACAGTATCACTTCATCTTGGATGGACTTTCAGCAAAGTACGCATTAGCCCATACGGTTCCAGATGCATGCAAGTGCTTAATAAGCTGCATGGGACTCATAGTTAACAGAACATGTTGCTCACAACTTTTTGATGTTACTAATGTCTACAAGGCTTAAACTGTTACATCTACCTCCTGTCTTGTAATCCATTGGTCACATCACCCAACCATGGCCTTTAGCAGACCTGTGAGATTAGGTAAATCAGGTCATTCTCTGGGCCCACATGTTCATCTATAAATTGAAGAGATTAAGGGGCAGCTAGGTGGTGCAGTGAATACAGCTCTGGCCTTGCAGTCAAGAGGACCTGAGTTCAAATCCAGCCTCAGACACCTAACACTAGCTGTGTGACCCTGGACAAGTCACTTAACCCTGATCACCTCACCAAAAAGCAAAAATAAATAAATAAACTGAAGAGACTGAACTAGGTGATCTTTAAGGTCTCTTTCAGCTCTAAAACCATCACTGTTACCTTTACCTATATTTAGGGTCATGATAAAAGAACACTTTGTGTTCCCTCTACTGACACCAATCTTCTACACTGATGCTATGCTTCCTACACACCAGTCCCTAGGACCACCTGGGTTAGGGTAGTGGGTCTAGAATAGGAAGACCTTAGGGATTTGTGAACTGAGTCAAATCTCCTTTTGGAAAATCCCACCAGATTTGTATCGTGGTGGAAAGAGCACTGGGTCAGGCCCCAGAATCCTTGGCTTGTGACAGTGGCTCTGACATTATTAGTTACATGAATGACATTTCACATCTCTGAGTTTCTGTTTCTTTGTAAAATGAAGAGGCGGGATTGTGATCTCTAGTTCTCTTTCAATTCTATCATGGAATCATCATTCTGAACCACTCCAGGGTCACAGAAAGGGGAAGACAGGTTTTAGGCCCTAGAAGCCACTCACCTCATGCTCAGTGACACAGGGATTTGGCTGAAAATTTTTTCTGGATAACCCATTAGGACAGTGGATATCTTTGGGGACAATATGACTGTTCCATTAATAGAAATGTCCTTTAGTCCTGAGTTTGCAGAAATGATGCACTTCAGTGAGTTGAGCTTTGAGCTCTTCAAAAAAACATCAGTGGACAAACACTGATCCATCCACATTTATCGCCTTGGGACAAAAGCAGTATTTTGTGAGGCATGTAGTCAGGGTGGGAAATTTAATGAAGAACTTAACAGTAATGCCACCTGGGCCACGGGATGATCAGACTAGCACTAGCCCTCCTTAGATGCTGTCTCTCCATACTGTCACCTTGTCACAGATGCTGTTTGATCAGGGAGGAAGAATTCAGATGGTAAATTAGCATCTCTCCACTGGGTCTACATTGACAGTTCTGTTCTGTTTTTCACCCTTGCCAGTGAATAATTCAAGTTGTCAGTGTAGACAAATATTCCATGTACTTAGTAGGGAATTACTGGCTTGGAACAGACCCTGTTTTTGTGTCCCACACACTATTTCTCTGTCAAGATTAACATGAACCAGAGACCTAGCCTATTTCTCTGCATAAGGACTATAATTTATCCCCTTAGACTCTGGTGTGTGGGCATGACTGCCTAAAACTACCTGGTCAGGAGTGACATCTTCCCAATATTACCCATGAAAACAGTGGCATGTTCAGGGCCTAGCTACAGATCCTTGATGGACAGTCTAACAGGACTTTTCAAGGAAGAACGGGAAAAAACCATGGATTTTAAGTCAGAGGAGCTGGGCCTAAAACCTGGCTCCAATGCTTATGTGACCTTGGGCAAGTCATTAAACTTCTGGGCCTGTTTTCTTGACAGTAAAATGAGAAGGTTGGACCCAATGATCCACAAGATCCTCTTTAGCTCCAAACCCCTCTTCCCACCGTCTCTGGGTGGAATGGCTGGAACCAGGGCTCATGCTCAGGGATACTCACCAGGCACCTTGCAGTTTTCAAAGATCAGCTCACAGGTGTTAGAGCCCCTCATTCCCAGCTTGTCTAGCTTCTGGGACGTGCTAAATCCAGGCATGCCCTGTGTGGAGGAATAAAACATGCTCCTAGGCTGGATCCTTAGAAAGGATCAAAGATCCTCACAAGGAGGCACAGAGCAAACACAGAGACCAATTAGATCCAATTAACAACACACATTAAATGAGAAATGGTGATTCTGTACTCTGGTAATGCAGAAACTGCTGAGCCTCATGCTTGGGGATCTTATTCTAGCATAAGTTTCCTATTCCACTCAGGTCCTCCAAATTCCTAATGGAGGAGAAGATGGGGAAAAAAGAGAGGCTGGTCTTTGGCCAGCAATACAAAACATTTTTGTTGAGCTTTTCATCTCACGTGGTACTGGATGAGGGGCTATCTACAAGTAAAACTCCAGACATAGTCCCTGCCGTCTTGGAGCTTAACACATATCGATACAGATAGAGATAAATGGACAAAAAGACAAGAGAATATTATATAATATAGTAACACTGGGTTTTAGGTGAAGAAACTTTGGGGGTTGCATTTTTTTGACAGAAGGGTCCAGGGAGAATGAACTGTTTCTTTCAACTAATTAAGAAAAGGCTTCAAAGAAAGGACAGCATTTCAAACGTTGCTTGAGAGGAGACAGTTTTGTGCAGCAAGTGGGAATTCTAAGTGTGGGGTGTAGTGTTGGATAAAGTTTAAAGACATGTGTAAAGTGATCAGAAGCAAATTTGTTTGAGATAGGTAGAGAGGTTAGTCCAGAGGCATAGGAAGAGACATAGGAAATGAGGTAGCTAAATTTAAAGTATCTTAGACTTGACCTACAATGTAATATGAGGCCTGAGGGTATTAAGAAGGGGGCTATCAGGGTCAGAGTTGGCAAAGAATAGTATTTTGGCAGTAAAATCAATCTCTTGGCTTTAGTGCCATGAGGAAACACATCCCCTCTGGGATGCATACTTGCCCCTGCTCACCTTCTCCACGATGAAGGCTGTGATACCTCGAGAAACTGGCACAGCAGACATATCTGTCTTGGCATAGACAATGAGGACATCAGCATCCGGTCCATTGGTGATCCAAAACTTTGTGCCATTCAGGATATAGTAATCCCCTAAGGAGATGTAGTTCTGGCTAGTCAACCCAGATCCCTTGTTTCCATCTTAACCAGTCAGACAATGTAGATCCTTTCCAAAGTAGGACATTCCCTGGTCCAAGGAACAGGTAACTAGAACATTTATGTGGAGCCCAAATGCTATTCTTCTAATATGCCATATTCCCACCCCCCACCCCCCGGCCCAAAGTCTTCCCTGGACCCTGTCATGGTAGCCAGTTGCCCAGGGTTGAAGCTAAGAGTCATCATACCTTTCTTCTCAGCTTTCAGCTTCATAGACACAACATCAGAACCAGCACTGGGCTCACTCATGGCCAAGGCTCCAATGTGTTCCCCACTGATGAGCTATGAGAGACATCACAAAACCATCATGAGGAAATGTGGGGCTCTTCCAGCAGCTACCCATTGTACCAAAGTCCTGATGCTTTCTTTGTGGCTTCTTTGGATCTGAGCACTGGTGAGGGCCCAGGAAAAGAAAGGTTCGTTTCTCAAGAACCAGAGAGAGCCTGTCTTGTCCCTAAAGGTCTGATGAATCATGCCAATCTGTTTCCATAAGACCTCACATATCGGTACTATCAACGGATTTGCTCTGGAACGCTGAGTTTTATTCCAACCATATCAGGTCCAGGATGGAATGGTTATTAAACTGTCATTGGACCAAATCACTAAGGCAGGTTCCTGAATGATAGGTTATTCCCAAGTGCCACTTTAGCATCAGTACACCCTACCCTGCTGCACACACTCCTGCCATACATCTTTACCTTGGGGAGGTATTTCTCCTTTTGGGTTTCATTTCCATTTCGTACAAGCTGATTGACACATAGGTTGGAATGGGCTCCATAACTGAGTCCCACAGATGCAGAGGCTCGGGATATCTCCTCCATTACTACTACATGGTCCAGAAAGCCCAGGCCTGAGCCACCATATTGAGCTAGGGGGAGGGGGAGGACAGGAGGAGGAGGAAGAAGAAGAGACAGCAAACATAAAATAATGGCAGCCATAAAAATATAACTGCTTTGAATTCTTTAGGAGAAAAATGCTGTGAGTGATACATTTTCAGACAAGGCTAATGTGTTAATTTGTTCTGCTTGACTGCACTTATTTGGTGCACTGGAAGATTCTCTTAGTGGTGGGAAGCTACTGGGAAGTGACTATGACATAAACAAAAAAAAGAGCATTAAAAATATTAAATCCCAGAAAGAGAATTTGTATGCTATATAGGTAGGAGACTTCTGTGTAATCACAAGCCCTTGGTTTTTGGGTTCTCCGGCAGCTTGTCATTGAGACCATTCTTAAAAAACCTTTCCTGCCTGCTGGGATCTGGCAAAGCCTCCAACAACCCAGGGTTATCTGTATGCCATAATGAAGCATTAGATTAGATGCTGGTGTAAGGGAGGGAGAAAAGCATCATTTGGTAATAATGCCTCGATGTTTAACCTATTAGTGATTCTAGTGATGAGCATTTCAAGTCAGGTGAAATGAGAGGTTAGTTAGCACAACAGGGCTTTCAAATAACTTTTACTTTTAAACTCAACCAGCCAGCCCAGAGAAGAAATGAGAAAATGTACCTCCCTTTCTTAAAGGGGTGGAGGACTCTATGCTTTAAGATTTGACCAAAGGGTTGGCTAGTTTTGTTTAACTAGCTTCCCCCTCTGCTCCCCCATTTCTTTTTCAGTCTTTGTTAGAAGAGATGACTCAATGGCTAGGAAAGTGAGGAGGTATATAACCAAAAATTAAAGTGCTATAAAAACAAAAGCAATATATAAAAATTTAAAACAGACTTAACCAACTCCCACCAAAAAACTGAAACATGACTGCCTAAATTTGAGGATCTTTCATGTTGTGACTTAAGGAAAATATTTGTTTGTGTTAGTAATGACCTTATTGTGAATATATAATGAAGCTTAATTTGTTTATTACATGAGTTTAGTTTCATAGTAGTTAAAACAATGTCCATTATACTTGTTTACTTATTCTTGGAATGACATTTAAAAATTTTTTAAAAGAGAAAAATAAAGATATTCTGTTTTAGTCTATGCTAAGAAAACCTCAGCCATTTAAACCTATCTGTCTTCTCCAACCCCAGAGAAAAGTGGTCTTTTCTCAACGGGAAAGCCAAGGCAGGGTGGTACAGTTGGCTAATCTGTTATGTCTTTTTTTTTTTATCTTTAAAGGCATTTATTTTGAGAACTTAAAATCTGCACATGTACAAAAAACATTTGAGCTTTTTAGTAAAAGCCAATATACTGTTTCAGTTTTTATCCTACCTATTAATATTCTACCTTAAGAGTTTAAAAAAAATCATTCCAGTCTGTCTGAGTTAGTGAGTTAAAATACTCCTGTTACATTGAGATATTAAACTACAAAAGAAATACTGAAAATCCATTCATTAAAAAAAACCTAAAACTAAGTTATCTTTCTTGGTTCATATACAGTAACCGAAAAAAAAAATTCATTTGGAAAAGTGTCTTTAAAAAGAAAAAATTTCTCACTTATAATTATCTATTTAAAAATGGAAATGCATTTAAAATAATGACAAAGTAAACTAATCTTACCAAAATGCCCCCTACCAAGAAGAGTTTCATGGTTTGCAATGTCACACTAATGCTGTTTGGCTACAGCGTTCCATTTTCAAAGGAAGAAATTTAATCTGGTTGGCATTTTCAACATTTCAGTTCTGCTATTGTAAGTCTTGTCTCTTCAAGCCAGGGTATCCTAACCTGCAGTTTTGTTACAGTATTTGAGGCCCACTGGCCTATTTCCTTTAGGATTACAAAAGTAGGAACTTCCAATTTGTGTCCAGCATGGTCTTTTCTTTTTTAAAAATCTATTTTCTCACCTGGAAAGACTTACATCAATTGATGCTGAGTGGAATGAACAGAACCAGGAGAACACTGTACACAACAACAGCAACACTGTGTGATGATCAACTGTGACAGACTTGGCTCTTCTCAGCAAAGTAATGGCCAAGACAACTCCAAAAGGCTCGTAATAGAAAATGCTATCCAGAGAAAGAACTGTGGAGTCTGAATGTAGTTCACAGCATGCTATTTTCACTTTTTTTTTCTCTCTTGTAGTTTTTCCCTTTTGTTCTGATTTTTCTTTCACAACATGATTAATGTGGAAATATGTTTAACATGATTGTACATATTTAACCTATATCAGATTGCTTGCTGTCTTAGGGAGAGGGACAGGAGAAAAATTTAGGACTCCAAATCTTACAAAAATGAATGTCGAAAACTATCTTTAGGGGGCAGCTAGGCGGCGCAGTGGATAAAGCACCAGCCCTGAAGTCAGGAGGACCTGAATTCAAATCCGACCTCAGACCAAACACTTGACACCTACTAGCTGTGTGACCCTGGGCAAGTTACTTAACCCCAGTTGCCTTAAAAAATAGAAAAAAAAAAAAAAAAAGAAAATATATTAGGGGTCTTGTTTAGGGGCAGCTAGGTGGTGCAGTGGATAGAGCACTGGCCCTGAAGTCAGGAGGACCTGAGTTCAAATCTGGCCTCAGACCAAACACTTGATACTTACTAGCTGTGTGACCCTGGGCAAGTCACTTAACCCCAGTTGCCTTAAAAAAAAAAAAAAAGGAAAACTATCTTTACATGTAATTGGAAAAAAAATACTATTAAGTGCAAAACAACAACAAAAATCTACTTTCTCTCCCTGTCTTCCCTCCCCATTGGAAAACAAAAACAAAATCATTGTAACAAATATGCATAGTCAAGCTAAAGAAATTCCCACATTGGCCATGTCCAAAATATTTAATGCAGATTTAATCAATTCTGTCAGGAGGTGGGCACATGTTCTCTGGAACAGCTGTTGGTCATTGAACTGATCAGAGTTCTAGTCTTTCAAAGTTGTTTGTCTTTAGAATGTTGTTACTGTATAAATTATTCTTCTGATTTTGCTCACTTCACTCTGTATCAGTTCATACAAGTCTAACCAAGTTTCTCAGAAACTATCCCCTTTCATTTTGTATTCTATCACATTCCTCAACTGACGGGTACTCTTAGTTTCTAGTTCTTTGCTACTACAAAAAGAGTTGCTGTAACTAATTGTGTACATTTGGGTCCCTTTCCTTTCTTTGACTTTTTTTGGGTATAGGCCCAACAGTGATATCACAGATCAAAAAGTGTTTACAGTTAAATAACTTTTTGAGTATAGTTCTAAATTGCTTTCCAGGATGGCAGGACCAATTTATAGTTCCACCAACAGTGAATTAATGTACCTGTTTTCCCACAGTCCCTTCAACATTTATAATTTTCAATATAGTCTACAGGATAGTTCTGGACTATACCTGAAAACTTACCAAACTGGTTCTGTTTGTCTTTCCTTTCCTATCAAGCTGATGCCTAGAAGGCAATTACAAATCGTATCTCAGGCCATATCTATCACTTCAGGAAAAAAAGGAAGAAATAGCAGGTTGTCAGGCAACTCAAATGATTAAGTTTGGAGGTATGGAATTTAGACAAGAAGGGGTTTTTGCGACATTGGTACAAGAGATGCTGGTAAGGGGTCAAGGGTAGATAGGCTTTAAGTGACAGGTCTTCTTGGCAACAGATTTATAAACCTAGAGAATCAAAAACTGGGCTGGTGACACAGATGACCTATTTTCGATGGGAAGACTCTGAGATGGAGATAAAAAAAATGAGTGGAGCTATGTAGAAAAATCAGAGTAGTTCTTGGGAAAGGCCATGTTAGGGTCTTTCAGGGAGTAAAACTGTCATGCCATTTGAATTTAAACAAACCAAAACAAGGCGGGGCACTGTGGTAGCTAGGGAATTTGCCAAGCTATTTTAGGCAAAAGGGCTCAAAGTTAGCTATCTTTTCAAGGATACCCCAACTCTACAGGTGCATTTTTACTGAGTTCTAACTCACATTAAAAATCAAACACTTTCTGACGCAACATATTCTCCATAGGGACTGGTGGAAAACTAGCACTTTCATTTAGAAGTTAATGGTATTTTTTTTTATTCCTTTAGTTAAATTTAGATTGTTAGGAGAACTCCTTGTTGTGACGAACCATATTTGCCATGGAAGGGAAAGAAGAGTATGTTCATTCAACATTTTAAAATCACCTACCAGGACAAAAGCACTGTTCCAGCCACTGGGCAAGAGTAATATCAAGAAGAACGTCAAAGGAGAGCAGCACACGAAAGCCTGCTTCTGCCTATGCCCTGATTCTGGAGCTTGCCAAGGATGAGAATTTACCTTTGGCTCGCCACTCCAGTCAAATGCACCACTCACACTCTTCGGGTACATAAGAGAACTAAGAGAAGGAATGCCTCCTGCACCCAAGGCCAAAGAGCACTAAGGTGCAGGCGCTTCACAAATCCCCAGGTTTGGAAACCCGTGGCAAACAGCAGGACAAAGCAGATTTTTGTACTGGGGTGGTGAAATTCTGTTCTCAAAGTCTTGGATCAGGCTATTCCAGGCAGGGGTGGAAAGGGGGAACTCGCCTAACTATCCATCAGAAAGAATAACTGGGCTTCATACCTCCTACTCTCAAGTCCTTTGGCATATTAAAAAACAACCTCCTCCCCACACCCCCTCTCCCACCCCATGTTCCTTCCCTGACCAGGCTCAAACCTCTTGGGATAGATGTCATTACAATCTCCTCCCTCTTCATTCCCTCCCCTCCCCGTCCAATCTGACCTAGCAGCTCTCCACAAAGAACCACGGCTGATAATTAAACCACATGCTGTTCCCACACATTTTCCTCTCTCTACGTCTTTGCTATGCTATTCCCTCTGTCAGGAATGTCAACCCTCCTCCATCTCTGCTCTACCAGACTCAACTCAGAAGCTACATTCTTTAAAAAGCTCTGCCTGATCAGCCCAGACAGAAATGATAACAGCATACTGGATGACAATCTTAGAAAGGATCGTAGAGACTATCTAGTCCCACACTTCACTTTACAGACGAGGAAACTGAGGCCTGGAAAGGTTAAGTGACTTGGATGGCACTTTGTTGTTCTCCCAAGACACTTACAGTAACTTGCAGGTCTTCCCTCTCCTCATAGATTATAATCTCCTTAAAGAAAGATACAGTCATTTGACTCTGTTCTATTTCCCCACAGTGCTTTTGACATAGTGGAAACTCGTTAGTTAAATGAATAACACTGAACTTCCACCGCACTCAAGCTCTTTGTGAGAGATGAGGCTCAGCAAAGGAACAAGCAGAACTGCACAGGCCTATGGATCTCTCATCTACTCTCCCCGCCCAGCACGGGAGACCTTTCCGATCAACCATGCAGCTTGTCTTGGGCTGGAAATTTGCTTCACTCTGTCTTTTTGTGGGTTCTGCTGCTTCAGAATGTTTAGAGCCATTTTTTATGAGTATTTGGAGGGGTCTGGGGGAGAGCTCAAGCAAGTCACCGCTTTTACTCCACCATCTTGGCTCTGCCCTCCGATTTCTCATGTTAATAACAGCAAAAGACAACCTCCCTGCTGCCAATGGATCTCAAGGCCAAATGGCAAAATTACACACTGGATCTGACATATTCAAGCAAAAAAAAGCTGTTGGCCGGACTGTTGTCAAATGAAGAAGCAATGCTAAGACACTAAAGCAGCCACCATATCTCATCCTTCTCTGGCCGCTGAGAATTGAGTCCCCTGGGCAGAAATCTAACACAAGGTCTTTTAGCCATTGGAGGGGTAGGAGCAATGAGGAATGGAGAAGACTGATTCTGCTAAGTTAGCTGGGTTTCATTTCTTGATTCAGTTCCCACAGAGGTTCCCAAAATGGGTGACACTGCAATGATCCAGTGGGCAGTGGTAGCCTTGGGTATAACTGGGGGGCACTGAATAAAAATGAGGGTGCTATGGAAGCATAAGGAAAGAGGAGAAGAAAATTTTGAAAAACTGTTCGTACATGGTTCATCTATTGCGTAACAAAGCTAAAGTCATAGCGATTGCATTATTTTCCAAACAAACACACAAAATGCAAGTTATAACCAATCAGTGGTCAAATCTGCTGACAGGTCTTAATAAGCAAGTGTTGGTGAGTTTGTCATGAATTGTTGGGAAGCAGGAATGTGTGCGTGTAATGACTTGTTTACAGTATGATACTATATGATTACATGATACAATATTGCATCATCAACATTTCAATGCAGGAAAACCCCCACAAATTTACAATGAATTATTAAATTTAAGATGTGCCATTTAGAAATTTTATTTTTTAAAAATGACACAAATTTCAAAAAAAAATCATTAAAAGGTTAAAGAAAATAAATTTCCAGGGGACACTGACTAATTTTTTTTTTTAAAAAGGGGGCGGTAGGCCAAATAAGTTTGGGAATCTCTGAGTTCCCATAGCCTCATCAGAGCCTGAATTCAGTACTATCCATTCATTGCCTGGACTCTGATTAAGTCTAACCAGAAATGAAGATGAGGGGGAGGATGCGGGAGGACAGATCTTACCTACCCCTGGCTACTTCAAGCTCTCAGAAGTCAAGACTACTCCCAAACCCAGACACAACAATGAAGGAAGATACTGGGAGCCACCATAGGAGGTTGGGAGTTAATCAACAGACCAGCTGGTGATCATGTTGACCCTTCAGCTGACAAGGATGGAGGAAGATGCCAGGCAGAAAAAGAAGAGAATTCCCTGAGCTGAGGCAGGCAAGAAGTTGAGGATACTGGGCAGAGCTGGGGAGGGCGAAGAGAAAAATTTCTTGTATTATCAATAAACACTACTCTTCCCGCTCCTTCTCGGAATACTGGGCATAAAGACAATAGGAAAATCTGTTTTCTTCAGGGGCCAGACTCACCAGGGACTGTGATGCCCAACACTCCAAGGTGCCCCAGTTGCTTCCAGAATTCCTACAAATAGAAAAGGAACTGCAAAACCAAGCAACCAGTATCTGACATATAAAGCAATTGTACAGAACCCAAACACTTAATCCCAGGCCACTTAAAGAAAGGACCTATTATTACTTAAGTAGGTTTTAGCAAAGCAGTCAATACAAACAAATTAATCTTCATAAGCAGTTATGTGGGTTCCTAACCATCCCAACTCTTGGGGCATAGCACACTTCATTTCTTCCTCCCAGATCTTCCTCTGAGAGGATGTGAGGATATTTTCTTGTTGCCAGTAATACAAAACTCTGGACTTACCCGAAGGTCCTTGAACTCATTGGTCTGATCAATTTCACGGGCCTTGGGAGCTAAATGTTGCTGAAGGAATCTGAACACGGTCTGTCGCATCTGGGAAGCAAGAAGGGAGGGGAGAACAACATGAGTAAGCATTGCTGAAGATCTTCAGACCACTCACTGTAGGTTAGGTTACAAATTCTTTCCACATTCTCATCATCTGGAGGCTAGTGACCCTACTAAGGCACACTGAAAGAACCAACCTCACCTTGAAGAGGGACATCAAAACAGATGCTGAGGTGTGGACCTAGAAATGAAATGTCATTCCACAGAAGAACAGAATCTCTAAATTGGCCCCAGAACTATCAAGAGGATCAGAGAATCAGACAGAGATTAGAAACAGAAAGAGATCTTAGAGGTGATCAAGTCCAATCCCTTTATTTACATTTAAGGAAAGAGAAGTGAAGTTATCATAAAGGTAATAATAAGTGAAGAGCCTAGATTTGAACCTATCCTCTCACTTCTCTCTCTAGTTTGCCACAGCAGCCAACTCAGATGGTCTACCCATTGGGTGTGATCTACAGTTGGTTTGGAGGCCCAGATACCCTCTGCCCAAAGGTCACACAGTCAGAGTGGTAGCAGTCATAGATAGGACCATACATCCAGAGCTAGCAGGGACCTTAGACCGGAATAGAGTCCAACCCTCTCATGTTAAAGATGAGAAAATGGAGGTTGAGAGGTTAAATGTCTTATTTGCCCACGGTTACAAAACTAATAAATGACTGAGGCTTAGATTTGAACTCGTGCCCTGATTCCAAGGCAGCACTTTTAAAAAACCTATCAACTATTGCTTTTAAATATTGGAACAGGTTACCAGAAGAGGATAGAGTAACTGTCCCTCCAGGAAAGCATAAGAAATGGCAAGGAAAATGCTGTTTGAGATGATTCAGGTGAATGAATGAAAACAGTATGAAAAACAGATTAAACCCTCTTGTTGTTCAGTTGTGTCTGATTCTTAGTGACCCCATTTTTGGCAAAAATACTGGAGTGGTTTGCCATTTTCTTCTCCAACTCATTTTACAGATGAGGAACTGTGGAAACAGGGTTAAGTGACTTGCCCAAGGTCACACAGCTAGTAAGTGTCTAAGGCCACATTTGAACTCAGGACCTGACTCCAGATCCCAAGCTGTCCATTAAGCCCTTAAATCCCTCTAAATTCTCAATCTCAGTCAAATTCATCGTCAAGCATCACTGAAATTTTGCTCACAGCAGGGGACTCTGGGGCCTTGGAAGGTATCTGAGAAGAGGGAGCTCTGGGTAATAGAACCAGGCTCTACATAAAGGAAAGGCATAATAAAACATTATCAGTCCGTAATGACCAGAGAGCACCACAGCCAAATTCCCAAGGGAACATGGCTCTATTTCCAATCTCCATATGCCCTCAGAACGCCCTCGTATAACGTCCTTCCCTACAAGACTGTCCGTTAATATTAACATTAAAAACACTGGCCGGACTGGAAGTTTCCTGGGCAAAGCCCCGGTGGCCCCTCTAAGTCCCCAGGCACCGCCGGGGGCCGCCTACAGCGTGCCTGAGGGTCCCCTGAGTCCGGCTCGGGAGTCACCCGAGCCTGGGGACCCGAGGCTCTGCAGGGGTCGCCCCCTGGGGGAGGGGGCCGACTCGGACCCAGGTCCCAGGGGGAGAGGCCAGGGCTCCTCCGTCTACCTCGGGCCGCCTGGCACTTGCGATGCTGAAGCTGAGCATGGGCGGCCCGGGAGTCTGAGCTCCTGCGGGCGGCGGAGGGAGGAGGGGGGAGGCCGGGGGGACGGCGCGCGTCTGGAGGCTGCCCCGTGCAGCCCCCGCCGGGGACCCCTCAGCGAGGGGCCGGGGAACACTTCTGCTACCTGTTTTTGCTCTTCGTTCAGCCCGTTTATCGTGTCATCCACTGGCATCGTCGAATAGCCCCGCCGTGAGGCGAAGAGCGCGGCCGGCCGCACTCTCCACCAAGACAGGCGGGCACAACCCTGCCAAGCTGCAACCGCCATCACTGCTCTCAATTGGGACCTTAGCCTTTTGGCCTGGGCCACCGCGAGCAACTCCACCAATCCACAAGCATCTCTGCCTCTGTCCAATCAGCGAGGGGGTGGGGTACCCAGCAGCCTCTCAGCGTCCAGATTCTCCGAATGACACCATCCCCCTACCAGAGCTACCTTCAGGCCAATCAGCGGTGTGTCCTGAGGGGTTAGGCTTCCTCCCCTCAAACCAAGAAATGGTCACAGTGGGCGGTGGCCCAAGGTCGCTTCGCCATCTCTAGGGGGATTAATCTTCTTAAAGCTGATTCGCCCACAAAGAAAATAAAAACAATTCTCCAGCAACATGCCTAGGGAAAACTTAGGCATGGCGGGATGGGGAGTGGGGATGTGTCAGAGAATCACCTTCTCATGCTCCATTCTTTTTACAACAGATAAAATGAGGACACAATGGATATTGAAGCTAAGAAAGTAACAAAATGGCAACCTAAAATGGGATTGGGAGGGCAACAGAGCAGAGTTGGGCTCTCATTTAGTTTTTAAAATTACTATTATTTGTATTAGTAATAACAACAGTAGTTAGCATTTAGATAGCAGCTCCTATGTGCCAGGCACTGTACTAAGTGCTTTACAAATATTACCTAAATTTATCCTCCCAACAGCCTTGGGAGGTGGGTGTTATGGTTTTCTTCATTTTACAGGTGAGGAAATTGAGGAAGATTGAAGTTGAGTAACTTGTCCAAGGTCATACAGCTAGTAAGTGTTTGAGGCCAAATTTGAAATCAGGTCTTCCTGACTTTAGCCCCAGCACTCTATCCATCATACCACCAAAAACTGTAGTACTAGTGATGGACAAAAATTAAACAAGTGCCTAATATGCGTGTATTGCTAGTTTCATGGGCAGAAGATAAATGCCAACCTGCTTTCATGAGAAGCTACTGTTAGGACAATAGAAGTGAGGTGGCTGCCCAGAGATGGGGGCCAAAAAGATTGCAACACATTGCTAATGGGTTCAATTAGTTGTGATGGGGTGCTTGGGTGCTTGTGTTTGGGTGCTTGTACTTGGACTCCAATTTCTCCCTAGCCTCAGAAACACAATCCCTGACAGTTTCTCCCCAGCCCAAGGACACTGTGCCTAGCAATTACTCATGAGTGGGCCCCGGCAAGACCCTTATCTCTTTCCCTGGTGCAGTTACAAACAACAACTGAAGGAATTATTAGTTTAAACTGGCTTTGCACTGGGTCATAAAGATATATACTACTGCCCTACCTCATTATCTACATCCTGGACTCCTCATTATCCGTATTCTAGACTTAAGACATATGTATACCCCCTACATCTATCTTGTCAAACAAGACATTGACTAGTGGCAGACTGGACATTCTCAGTTACCCCTGAACTCTAGTTAACTTAGTGACATAGCAGGCCTAAAACCATACCTCCTCATGGCCCCCCTTCTGGGCTTTTCCCAGTGAACTCTGGGTAAGACGCCTGTGCAATAGGAACAAGAAGTGCATGTTCTTTTAAGAACTGACTACTTTTTCACCACTCCCTAATCCCACCCCAAATCCCCTAGTTAGCATATTTGGCATATGTTTTATTATATTTTATCCTATATAAATTTTATCTGTGCCCCTCTAAGATTGCAGGTTCCTTAAGAATCCTTGCCCACCGAAAAGTGTAACAATAAATTTTTTGCCAACTTGACTTAAAGAATGCCTGAGTCTGTGAATTCATTTCAGACGACCCCTTCCTCTACTCTAGTCTTTGTGGGGTCACAACCTCTCAGACTGCAACATTTATTTGTTTGTCTTTTTAATGACTAAAAGCCTCCTTTCAGTCATCTAGGGTATCAGAGCAGCCTGGCTTAAATCATGCTTCCCTCTACCCTCAGAATACAGACAATAAGCCAAGAGACTTCCAAAAATATTTATGTTTAAGGTATTGCCTAGGCAGAAGGGCGACAGAAATGAGTAAGAAATATTCCATAGGCTGAGAGGAGCCCTAGCACTTGTGGCTGCAGGAGAGTAAGGGAGCTGGTCACAGTTCCAGGATCAAGAAGAGTATTAGCTGCAGGGAAGTAGAGGCCCTTTCTGGGTAAAGATGAGAGTGCAAATCAGGACAGCAGTGACCACAGCTCTCTCTGGATCACACCACCTTGGAAGAACTGAAAACTTGCAAACTCCCTTCTTTCCTCCCCTGAGCCCAAACTCTTCTGAAGACAGCAGAATGAAAAAGCTTGAAACTTGGCACAGTGCCTTTCCATCCCCAGGTGAGCAGAGCCCAATTTTAAGTTCAAAGTCAAGAAATAGGTTGGAAAAATGAACATACAACAACAACAACAAAAATTTACCATAAAAGGCTACTATGGTGGCAGGGAAGGCCAAACTCAGAAGAAGACAACAAACAAATAAAATAGCTACAAACAAAGCCTCAGAAAATACTAATTGGACCCAAGCCCAAAAAGAATTCCTAGAAATTTGAAAGAAAGAGATTAGATTGATAGAGGAAAAATTGGGAAAAGAAATAAGAGTGATGCAAGAAAATTGTGAAAAGAGAATTAAAAGCTTGGCAAAAGAAGAACAAAAGAAATACTGAAAAAAACACCTTAAAAACCAAAATTGGCCAAATGGCAAAAGAGGCACAAAAATTCACTGAAGAAAAGAACTCCTTAAAAAGCAGAATTGGCTAAATGGAAAAAGAGGTACAAAATTCACTGAAGAAAATAATGCCTTAAAAATTAGAATTGGGCAAGTGGAAGCTAATGACCCCATGAAACATCAAGAAACAATAAATCAAAGTCAAAAGAATGAAAACATAGAAGAAAATGTGAAATACATCATTGGAAAAACAACTGACCTGGAAAACAGATCGAGGACAGAGAGATAATTTAAGAATTATTGGACTCCTTGAAAGCTATGATCAAAAAAAGAGCCTAGACATCGTATTTCAAGAAGTTATAAAGGAAAACTTCCCTGATGTCTTAGATCCTGAGAGTAAAATAGAAATTGAAAAACTCTACCAATTACCTCCTGAAAAAAATCCCAAAATGAAAACTCCCAGGAATATTATAGCCAAATTCCAGAGCTCCCAGGTCAAAGAAAAACTATTGCAAGCAGCTAGAAAGAAACAATTCAAATATCATGGAACCACAGTCAGGATCACATAAGATTTAGCAGCTTCCATGTTAAAGCAGTGGAGGGCTTGAAGTATGATATTTCAAAAGGCAAAGGGGCTAGGATTACAACCAAGAATAATCTACCTAACAAAATGATATATTATCTGTGTTGGTCTGAGAGGTTGAGACCCCTCAAAGACTGGAGTACAGGACGGGTCATCTGGAACGAATTCATAGACTTAAGCATTCTTTAAGTCAAGGTGGCAAAGATTTATTCTTATGCTTTTCAATGGGCAAGGACTCTTAAGGAACCTGCGAGAGACTGAGGATGGAGCTAGGGCTTATATGGAAAAGGGCATGGGAAAGGAATGCCAGGATACCAATAAGATAATCCAAAGGTCCAGGTGTCTTTGGCAGCTATGGATGGGAAAGTACAGGGAGTATACCAGACAGGGAGGGAGATGACAGAAGTATGGATCTTTGAAGTCTAGCAGGAGGAAGAGTCCTTGTGCTGGCCAAGGACAAAACTCCTTGGGTTGGGCAAGGCACCCCTCTCCCTCTGTCTTGATGAGAGAATGCTCTGCAACAAGGGAAAGCTTTCTCACAAGACAGGAACTTACTAAGGAATTGGGAGGCTTCCAGAGACATGATCTGAGGGCTGGGGCCTGAGCAGCCCAGCACTGTCTCACCCAGCTTTGTGTAGCTGAACCAAGGAGAGAGATAAGGGTTGTGCTAGGGCCCACACATGAATAAGGCAAAGTGTTCTTGGGCTGGAGAGTGGTTATCAGAGACAGTGTGTCTGAGACTAGGGAGAAATTGGGGTCCAAGTGCAAGCACAAGCACCCAAACACAAGCACCCAAGCACCCCATCATCTGGAGGCAGCGAGGTGGCCACACTTACTAGCTGTCATTTAACCTGGGCAAGTCATTTAATCCCAGTTGCCTAAAGAAAAAAAAAGTGATTTATTATCCTTTGGGAGAAAAAAATAGATAGTTAATGAAACAGAGGACTTTCCAGCATTCCTGATGAAAAGACTGAATAGAAATTTTGACATTCAAACAGAAGACTCAAGAGAAACATAAGAAGGTAAAAATGAAAGAATAACCATAAGATACTCAATAAAGCCAAATTGTTTATATCTCTCTATAGGAAGATAATATATGTAACTTCTAAGAACTTCAGGCAGTTAGAAAGAGTCTACATGAACAGAAGGCATGAGTGTGAGTTGATAATGTTGGTATGATCTCAAGAAAATCAAGGGGTAAGAAAGAAGATGAACTGGGAAAAGGGGGAAGGGAGAGGTAGAATGGGGAAAACTTTTTCACATAAAAGAGGATTGTAAAGAAGAGGTTTTATAGCGGAGCTGAAAATGCTTGAACCTCTCTCTCATTGGAATTGCTTCAAAGAAGAAAGGGAAAAAAATACACACACACACACACACACACACACACACACTCGGGTACAGAAATTTATTTAACCTAATACAGAAATAAAAGGGGAAGGGGATAAGAGTTATGGGGGTGGGGAAGATGATAAAAGGGAGTGCAGATTAAGGGAAGTAGTAGTCAGAAGTAAAACAGCCTTTTGAGGAGGGGCAAAGTAAAAAGAGAGAGAGAATAAACAGAAGAAAATAGGATGGAGAGAAATACACAGTAATCATAACTGTGAATGTGAATGGGATGAGCTGACCCATAAAATGAAAGTGGATAGCAGAATGGATTAGAAACCAGAATCCAATAATATGTTGTTTATAAGAGACACACTAAAAATAGAAAGATACACACAGAGTTAAAATAAAGGACTGGAGCAGTATCTATTTTTTACTTTCCTTCAGCTGAAGAAAAAAAGACAAGGGTAACAATAATGATCTCAGACAAAGCAAAAGCAAAACCAGACCTAAATAAAAGAGATAATCAGAGAAACTAT